AGGTAAGGACAGATTATGAGTATGACAGTGCTGAGAATTATGGGTTTGATGAATGCACAAGAGGTGAGAACAGATTATGAGTCTGACAGTGCTGAGAATTATGGGTTTGATGAATGCACAAGAGGAATGAAAGACAAATTCGCAGTGATCAAGATTAGCACAACACGGACAGAAACTCCTCAAAGCAAAGATTGACACCGGAGCTCAAGCAAACCTTTTGAATTATACAACATACAGAACACTGTTTGGCCTAGATCATAAGCCGAACTCCTCAGAAGTACGTCTCAGTGGGTATGGAGATACACCTTTTAAGAGTTACAATTCCTGTTGTTGAAACAGGCAAAGAAGAAAGAGATGTAGAATTCTTCATATCAGAGCATGGAAACAACCTATTTGGTTTAAGATTATGCACATGCCTAGGACTTGTCAAATTCCTTTGTGAGGGACGCAAATGCAGAATACGACGCGGAGGAAACTATAGCCTACAGCACCAAAGAGCAGTTAGTAAAGGACAATCCAGATATATTTGAAGGTGTTGGCAAGATAAACACAGACTACAAAATTGAGCTGTCTGATGATGCAACACCTGTAATAAATCCAGCAAGAAGAACACCAGATGCATTGAAAGTACCCTTGAAACATGAACTGGACCGCCTAATACAGCTTGGAATCATCAGGGAAGTGCAAGAACCCAGTGACTGGGTGAACAGCATTTTGTTGGTCACCAAGCCTAACGGATCACTACGCATCTGCTTGGATCCCCGTGAGCTAAATAAGTTCATCAAAAGACGATATCTGATGATATCCTGCCAGACCTAAAGAACACTCAACATTGAATCTATGCAGTGGATATTGAAATATACCACTTGACACAGAATTATAACTGCTAACAACGTTTATTACAATCTTTGGAAGATACTGTTTCACAAGATTGCCTTTCGGTCTGATATCCGAACAAGATGTGTTTCAAGTCGACCTTTATAGAATCTTTGGACAAATAGATAATGTACATTGTCTTAAATTGCCTCTGTGTAAAAAGATTTATATAGGATAAGTACAGCAAAAGAGTTTTAAAATAATAACAAGATATATGTAAGAATGTTTAAATGTTAAATAAATCTTTTTGTTGTGTAAATATAATTGGCAAGGATCTTTGCTTGAGAATATATATGTGAACTGTATATTTTTATTGTTGGATGAAAGTAGAGTCATAATTTTTTGGATGAAGTTTTCTGTGTGTGTGTTATATTTTGGGCAAATCAATAGAAAATGTTCTTCACCTTTAATTGAATTTGTGTCACAGTTATTGCATATTCTTTTGTTTATAGGTTTCTTAAGAAATGAATATCTGTCTTCCTGCACCAAAAGAAAAGCAAGAATAATTATTACAGTCACTCCTCCGGCTTGTCAATTACTTGTCCAAGTTTGTCAAGTTAAGTCCACTCACTGAGCTGCTTAGAAAATTACTGCAGAAAGGTTTAGTGTCTGAATGGTCTGTGAGTCACGATAAAGCACTTTGTC